CAAGCTCCTGAAAACATTCTGTGTGCCCCAAATAAACCGACATTCAAGAATATTTGGCGAAATCATTTCAAAGCTTACTTCTGACACATTGGTAAGGACACCCAACAAGCGACTATGCGTGCCCAGTCGCTCTTCCTCTGGGGTTTCTTTCAGTCTAAAAAATGAAATTCAGCATGGAGAATTGAGCAGCAGAAGAAACAACTAATGACACTGTGGTGATGCCACTGAACCAAAATGACGAGAACCTTTGCTCATACTGGCTTAATAGCGTTGTTCGGCTTGGGGGGGAGGGGGGTGCTTTTGCATTTTCGTTAACATCCGTTGCTACGGGTATGTGACAAGAGAGTAATTCGAAGCGTTGGTGGGCGTCGCGTGCGACGTCGCCCGCAAATAACGATGTTTCCCGGTAGATGGCGACAACAGGCAATTCAGAACCGAAAATAGTCATGTATGTCGACTGGGTCTTAATGAAACCCGGTGTTCCTGTCGACAAGTTAACACGAGTTAAAGACAGCTCCCGCGATAAAAGTGTCAAGGATAATTGCTGATCAATTATGAAACAGTAGCTGATAAGTAATTCCTCAATGAAGGAAAAAAGAAACAAGAGCCCTCAAGAACACCATAAACAAAATCGCGCCCTGACAGTCACACCTCCCTGCGGTCTCTGTGCAAGCCCTGGCTCACAAATCACTTTGTCACATCTCCCAGTAGTGGATATCATCGAATGCGAAGAAAAGAAAACAAAAAACAACAGAAACATAGAGGAAAAACTCTTGAAAAGAAAAGGAAACATTTAAAAAGCCGGCGTCCGAACTTAGGGTTACGGTAGCGAGCATGTTTTAGTGTAGTGAAGTGCGTCGAGCTTTTGCACCACAGAAATTGCATCATTCGTGATTTTTACGCGTTTTACCTTACGAGATGGGTTGCTGTTGACTGTACGTGCTCCCAATGAATAAAATGTGATGAAGGAGAGCAGAATTATTTCACGAGCGCGGTCAGCAAAAAATACATGCAGTTCCGATTAATGACTGCCGTCCCAACAAGGAACAACTGAGCGGCTCTCCGTCAGAGGGCAGCTAGCTAGTGAGGCGGTCCAACTGAGCAGGCGTTAGAACTAGAACTTTGAGCGGTTCTAGCTCGCTCCTCGCTCGCTGAGGAGTCGCGAGAGTGAGACAGTATCTAGCTTGGGGGCTGAACTACCTGCCCAAGGAAGGACGACCATGTACTACTTGAGCGCGGGGGCTGTCTTTAAACTTCGTGCAAGGCAGCATTTTAGCTAGCGGCAACGGTGTCGAGTGTTCCTCTCGATGAAACCATCCTGCAACAAGCAGCAGAGCGCAATTTGCCTACATTTTTTTTGCTCGTGGTTGATACTGGTCTCGAAATCGGTTCCATGGATCATTCCGCTAGGACGCGCTAACAACCGCGTGACTACACCCATCAGGTAATTGTTGAATTTGATCAGGTCCAAGATAAAATTTCTTGTGACCGTTACAGCTGTCCAGCGACACGGCACAATCGGTAGGACTCTAATAACTGCCACATCGCGCGGTATAATCGAGAGAGTCGCGATGTGTAAACGCAACTCAATGGATGGTTCAAGCGATTATAT